GACATTCTTATTAGTTGGAAATAGCAAATACATAATTTGTAGGATATCTAATGTCAGCCAGGATACATTTTTATCAATATAACAAGGAACGTTGTATATTGAACACTGCAAGCTGTCCACTGTCAACATTTTGCATATCATGATTAAGCATGTGTGTATGTTTATGTTTAGACAACTTGAAGCTAGTTAAACCTGTATTAATTGATTCTTTTGGACACTTGGGGGTAACAAAAAAGCCAAACAAGACAGCAGACATGGAGCGATGTTAACATATATTTATATATATGAGTCCAGCATTCACTCTTTTCTTTTTTTGCTCCACCAACTCCTGAGGGAAATGTCTGACTCTTTCACTGCTAAATGCTCTAGGATTTTGACCAGCTAGGCTTTCTGAGTTCTGAGCCAGCAAACCAACACACTGTGCTTAAAGATGCTGAAAATGCTTCATAGAACTGAGGAGAACCTCGAATGTTTTAATAATTCACTTTCACATTACGAGTAGTATTTTTTTCACATTGTGGCCTTTTGGTTTAATACTGAAAAAGTCGATGATAACTTGACGCACAAAATAATTGATTTACATTTTCAGTATTTAACGTAAACCACAACCTTTTCCCAAATGTACGTGTTTAACTAGCCTAAACCTAGCAACATGTGAGATGCAGGACACAAACTCATGTTTCTGGTTACACTTCCTGAACTTTCTCAGAATGAAAAGAAATCTTGCCAGTGATTACCTATGTTTCACCCCAAATGTAGCTGGCAAAGCAAGTTAGGAGGATGCAAATATATTTTGTAGTCAGAGTTGAGGCACTAGCCATTCTGCAGATTCACTATTTCTGTCAATGACCTCACAGCCTACAGTATGTAGCAAAGGTTACATCCCTCTCTCTAGTCTATAATCTATTTCTAAAGTCGATTACGTCAGTTCTTGTGGGCATGTAAGACACAGATTGAAAGTTCACAATGACTCCCGTCATTGCCGGCAAAGATAAGTCTGCTGCATTGACTGTCAATAACGTGGCAGTCTCCGAGCAGCTTAGTGGGAGCTCTCGTCTCGTCTTTCCTTCCTAAGCCTCCGAGGGGCCCGTGTGGTGAACTGGCAGCCACAACTCCTTTCATCCATTCTGAGAGAGCCGAGTAAAGTTCAGAGGAATTACAGGAATATACCCAGTTAGACTCAGAGTAGCTGGAATAAGCATCATTACTGAATCAGTCTCACAAATGTTTATATATTGCCAAAATGACGTGGATGAATCAGCATGGCTGCAGATGCTGTGGAGCATGCGGGCCGATGACGACTGACTCAAAGCTCACATTCATTCATTTAGATCAACTGCCAGAACACTGAAGATGTTGTGGGAAGAATAGTGTCTCTCAACTTCTTCCTCCAAGATTTTCCCTGCCAAATTTCAAACCACCACTTTCACTAGGTGAAAAAGGCAGTCACAGTTAGAAATGCTTGACAGGGTGGTCTGTTTAAACAAAACAGAATTTATTTACCCAGCACATTCAGATCGTGAACATTTTAAGACATTGTGGCAGCCATCTGCCAAGCGCTTTTTTCTGTTATGGAATAAACATGTCCATGCCCATTACTTGGCAACAACAAATGATTTTGTTTTGCTCTAAATTGCATGAAAATTAAACCCCTCTCAATGAAGTTGAAGTAATGGCCTGCCACTTTTGTGAATTGCCATTTAATCCACCAAAACCAACCTGATTTGGACTTAAGAGAGGCAGCGAAGTGATGTAATTAAAAACACTCTCATGTCTGTTAACCATATCAAAAATTATTATGAGAGGTTTTAGATGCAGATGGCTTTCAGCAAGCATTCTTCTACATTAACAGTTATTTTTCACAGGGCCCATGTGGTGCTCTACTGTAATAACTGTCTCGCATACAACCATTCAAATGGGTCTAATTTGATCATTTTCATTCATCTATGAAATGCAGAATATCAAAAAAGGTTTTTTCCCCATTAGTCTCAAAAGAATGCATGAGTAAGACATATTACACACATTAATGGAACACTGCAATATTTCTATAAATCTAACTTCAATCTTAAATTACAGTGTATGTATTTTGGTATTATAGCTTGCACACTGCCTGGTACTGTATCTAGGTAAAAGAAAAAAAGCTTAAACCAGTGTTGTGGATGATAGTGAGTGACAGTGCACCACAGGAGAACAGCCTTAATACCAACACATTTTGAAGAACCCCTGAAGGTCTGCAGCTAAAAATAAAAACAGGGCTAACTCCCTAATGCAGAACACCTGTCCTAGACACTGTTTATCCTGGACTCTCTTTATTACTTGTCCTAAACATTCAAGAGAAAGCCTGGAATTAGAGCAAAAGAGAAAAGCCATCTTTCATCCAAAAAGAAATAACTTCAAACCTTAAGTTGTAAGAGATCCAGTCTTTAATGATTAATGCCCTTCTCATGAGCACAAACTATATTTGGCAGAGCTTTGTTTGGACAAAAAAAAAATTCCTTGAGCGACAGAGATAGGAATCATAAGCACAAGGCAGAGGGAAGGGAGGGGAGACAAGCCATCCAGGATTCTTTGACCATCCAGTATGAGGCAAACCAACTCCTGGGAAAAATGATTTGACTTGAGCTCACAACTGCAGTCAATTTGGCGATTGGCTAAAAGAGCTCATTTGCATGCCCCTCTCATCTCCAACAAACTCTCAGGAAGAACCGGTGGATAAGGTCACCGGTGTCAGTCTGCCTGTGTGCCAGCCAAGAATGTAAACAGATCAAACACACAACAGCCATTTAGGCGAGTGCAGGAGGAGCCTGTGCTCTTGATCATCTGGACAATGATGACCTCAAATTTGTGTTAAGTGATAGACATCCTGGCAATCAGATGTAGGGACATCTATCACATAATGAAACCTTTTAATCAAGTGAAGGTAAAGCTCGAACGAACACATGTTGGAGGTATGGGGATTGTATACGCTAACAGGATTATTTCTGTTGAGCTCTTGTGCAACCTCCGTCAAAAAAGTCTGGAAGCGCCCTAGGACTGATCACCAACAAGCATCGGATACATTATTTGTTAATGCTATGCTCTCATCTTCAAAGTAGACGCAGCTTTCATGGATTGTTACCATTGTACTATAATATAAAAATCAACAAATGTCCAGCAAAACCACTTTGTAATTGAATTGTAGCCCCTGTAGTTACTACCACAAAGAGTAATATAAGTAATTGGTAGACTAGCATTATAGAGTAAGAAGTGACCAGTGAGTGAACCAGTCTCCTTAAACAGCTGCCCTATAATTCTGTTAAGTAAAACTGCAGAATTCACTGGCAGTAAATCCAATATATACTGTATCATAAGTGTGTAACAATAACTACACAACACATTCTGACAATAACAAATAATGCCATAAAATAAATATAGTCAGTATATAATATGTAATGAATTATGAAAACAATTTAGGCAATATGTTTGTAGTATACTGAATATAAAATTATGGCTCCAAATAAACAGAACAAAAATATGACAAGGCATCTATAACTAGCAACAATTACTGCAGTAAAATTAACCACTTTGACTCTCTTTGTCTGTGTTTGGCTCTTTATGCTCCCCGTGTTATGTTAGTGTTGTGTGTTAGGGATAAACTACTGGGCTGATAAAGGTTTCACTGTTCGTTTTGATATAAAGCTTCACAGAACGTCACACACGATTGGAGATCGGCTCCTTTTTCATCCTACAGTGGCATTAAATGTCTCAATGCCATCTGGAGTTGTGAAAGTAAAAACTCGCCTTTTAAAGATGCCCATTTTAATTGGTAAATATTTACTTGCAGGAGCTCTCGGCGGGCATGCACACGACTTCTAATGAAGCACTTTAAAGCCTATGGGCTCCTGCTGCTTTCTTTGAGTGTGATTCTAAACAAATTCAACCTGGGGATGAACTGTTGATAATGTTTGATAAGGGCCAATGAAACACAATGCTAAACAATGCGGTAAGCATGCAGTGCATAACAACTGCACCAGTACAATTACTGTCACTATTAACACTGACCCCCCCCCCCCACC